TTAACTTAACATGTCTGAAAAGAAATATACTAATGATTAAATCTTGCTGCATACGATGTTGTTTTCCCAAATAAATGAAGATATTATGAAATTATCCGTGACTTTACCTCGAGCCTTGATCTTGGCCTCCAAGTCTAAGCCGATTATGGCAGCTACACACAAGCTTTACGTCTATCTCTCGTATATTTGCCCGGGAAGTACATACTTACTATATTATTTCCCATAATGGGGTTAGTTGGGAAGAGACCTGTACACTCAAAGCTTAAGAGATCAGGGTGGTAATTCACCAATAATAGGCAACCTGGTTATGTTTTTCCTTATTTTATTTATTATTTGCTTTGCTTATCTTTTCAATTTCTTCCCATGTGTCAATAAAGTTCCCTTCTGAAGCTAATTTTATGTAGTTAAATTAGAAGTATACACAAGCATAGAAGAGACATCTAACATTGCATGCGCTTCATTTTCATGTTGCTGTAGGATATGGACTGCCTATTTACCCATGGGCTATTCTAAAAGTGTAAGCATAATTTGATAGCATAGCATACCAAAACACTGCATAAAGTGTGACTCGAATTCCATCGTAACTGGACAATTTGCCATTGACAAGTGAACATAAATGATTAAATATTCGTGGTTTTTATTAACTCGCCTTATCACAGATTTCACCAAGCGCCTGACCCAATGTTTGATAGGCACTGGTCTTGCCTCCAAACGGCTCTCCAACTATCATAAATCCATGTCTTACTATCATCATTTCGTATATCTGTTGGATCTTCTCCATGAAGAACTCGGTGCACTGAAGGTTGGTCTTTTCACAAGCATTCCTGATTGCAGTGTTCAGGATGTCGTAATCAGGCACTGGCCTCTTTACTCCGGGGAACAAGTCAGAAGTAATGCCGTTAAAGAGAGGAATGTCGTGATTGAGAAATTTGGGCAGGTTGACGTCAATGATTGAGCGCAGCATGAGAATATCCTCATCCTCGTTCGGGTACTTTAGCTAACCGATTAGAATAATAGAAAAAAGTATGGATAATATTACTTTTCGATAAAGGAATAAATCAATTTAATAACTTTCTATATTATTACGGTTAACTTTCTGGTATGGCAACACTATAATGTCAAGTAATAAAAAGAGCAATTCAAGGTTAGGTTTCTGCAACATTTCAAACAAAACTGGAAAATGTATTCACCACATATCGTTTAAGATGGTTGAATTTTTCCCACAATGATATGAGTAGACCTTTCATTTTCATTCAATTTCCCATAGCCTCGCTTTCCCAAAATTTGTTCTCATCAAGGATGGACTGTAGCTTTGATTTCGCCTAGGCCTTATTCGCACCTCCAGCACCTTCCCGTATCAAATTCTATGGTTTGATGATCGATGAAGTAAACTTCTATTTGCTATAACGATAAGGTAAATTACTTTTTCGCGATTCAGTGGGTTTTCGAGACTTCCAGTAAATTGCTTAAACGAAATAGGGTGAACACGACTCATATATCTTATTTACTGGTAGTCTCGCAAACCTACACACTCACGAAAAAAGTAATGTGGTCGATTGCTATAGCAAATAAAAAGTTTGCTTCATTGACAATCCCAACACAGAATGTGATATGTAAAATAACTGACATTCTTTGCAATCCACATCTGCCCTGTGTCCCAAAGGCAGTCGTGGCAATGTGGCGGAGTGGTTAACGTATTGAGCTTACACGCTGTACTGTCATGGTTCGACTCCCGCTTTGAGGGTTGATATGACCTATGCGAGGCCTTTTAGAAAAGCAAGGCTATGTGAAATTGAATGGAAATCTCAGCTCTACTCATATTATTGTGGGAAAATTCAACTGCCAGTCTTTCATTAACTTAAACGAAATAGAGTG